AGCAAGCACAGATGTGCTTATTACTCCTCTCGATTGTGGATGTGATGTGACACAAGTTACTGCCTTGACTTCCTCAAGATGATGGAGTATAACTTGGAGTTGTGGGTTAAATAAACCCTTTCTACCCTTATGTTGCTTTTCTGTGCAGATGTTTCCTCATCGCTACAGAAAGGAACCCAGAACCGGAAGGCATCCAGGCTGGCTGCAGGCAGTTGCACATCTGTATGTCTCCACCAAGCTTATCCCCACATTAACACCAAAAATCTTTCATTTGCTGAGGCTTTTAAAGTTCCACCAATCCCATCAAACAGATAGTGGCAACATTTCTGATTTCATGTCCCTGTTTTCCACTGATCCAGACTGCACGCACACACACACACACACCTTTATTTTTCACTTCGTATCTCTCCAGCATCTACTACAGTGCTTGGTATACAGAAATTTCTAAGAAAGAAGATGGGAGAAGGGGGAGTGGGGGCAGTGGGAGGAGAGAAGGGATGGGGAATTGGGATTGGAATGTAAAAAATAAATTAATAAAAAATGCAAAAAAAGAAAGAAGGAGAGATTGGGAAGATGGCTCAAATTTAATATCTACTTGATGAATAACTAACTGCAAAGCTACATACATACATACATCTCACATAATCTGCCAAACAAAATACAAATTATCTTGCCCTTAGTGGGGGCATGTCTCAATAAGCCCAGAATAGGTTGAAAATACTGCCAGGCAGTTTTGTGTGACTGTGACAAGATATCTGAGATAACAAAAAGGAAAGATTTCTTTTTATTTCTGGTTTCAGGATGTTTGGTCTGGGGTTGCTCAGTCTCATCACTTTGGGATGAAGATGAGCATCATGACAGGGAACATGTAATGGAGAGAAAGGGCTCATGTTGTACTACCTGAAGAAGAGAAAGATAGTTCACTTTTGTAACAAAGTCAAACCTCTTAAGCTCTGAATCCATAAATGCATTAGTCATTAGTCATTCATGAGATCTGGAACCCTCATACTCCAATCACCTCTCAAAAGTGCCTCCTCTGTATATGTCCTTAACTGGGTACCAAGCCTTCCACACATGGGCTTCTAGGAGGACATTTTAGATCCCTAGAATCTATAACCTACAACAACTTTATACATCTAGTCTTTAGGACACCATAAGTTGAAATATATTTGTATACTAAAGAATATAGTTGTGTACTATAGAATATGATTATTCCCACATGAATATATGGTTGATAGCGAAACATAGCTAAAGAGTGTCTATCATAAGGAACGTTGCTAGCCCAGGAAAATGTTACTATTCAAAGTATGGTTTCTACTGGATGTGTATTGCTTTTACACCAAAGTTGAAAAGTCATAAATCAAACCACCATAAGTCATGAGCAGTCTATAAATTTGTCTGTTCTTTGGTGTGGAAAATATTTGCTGCTTTCCCCCAACAACCCTCAAACTTCTGTCTTCAATGTCTCATTGTGATCCATTCTACAACACCAACTGCAAAGCCCTGAATTATGACACTTGTGGTGGGTAGAGCTCAGCCAAACAAGATTTGTGCTGTCCTTTGTTTAAGCTTTGAAACAGATGGCTTTCTACCTCCAGCATCCAAAAGGAAATGGCCTGGTGTCCAGCCACATAAAGCAAATTCCCTTTTGCCTGCAAAAGACTTCCATACATTGTTGCCCAAAGAAAGTCAACTCACTGGAAGTCCTATAGCATGTTTTATACCTCTTGGTAGTTCCTTTACTCTAACGAGATACAAAATAATTTCCCTTTATCACCTGGCAGCAATTATTGTGAGACTTCTGCATGCCATGTGCTTTGCTAGATTCATGGGACATGAGTCTCAGAAAGTTTCACAATTTGTCTCAGAGGGACTTAATGCTAAACAAGAACCAAGGTTTTACTTCTTTATATCCCCACCACAGTACATGAAGAATGTGCATAGCAAATGTGTTTTGATTGCTTGGCTTATTAAACAAATGCTAAAAATTCTAATTATAGATAGATCTGCATTACAGTTTAGCTAGACCTTGACAGATTACACAGCATTAGCTGAAATCCTTACTTTTATTTATAAGGACAATGAGGTAGTAATAAACTGATAAGATAAATTAAATGGGAACAGATAGAATTCAGTTTATGTCTCCCTCTCCTGCCTCCTAACACAGTGTTCCCTTTAATTGGACCCAGATATGACAGCTAAACTAAATCCTAGGGACAGCTCCATTTGACTCAGTCTGAACTTACTCAGATATCCAGGCTCCCCAGTTTTCACCTGTGCCTCTCTCTCTCTCTCTCTCTCTCTCTCTCTCTCTCTCTCTCTCTCTCTCTCTCTCTCTCTCTCTCTCTCTCTCTCTCTCTGCAGCTGGTACCAGTGACCTTCAGGATTGCCAGAAAGCAACTTATTTCATTTTCTGAGAAATAAAGGAAATGTTAATATCACAGATCTATGTCTAAAATGTCCCTGGGCAAGTTTCTTCTCTAAATTTGTTCTTTTATTTTCAAATTTCTTTTGCTTTTTTCCTTTCTCTGTGTTAAGATTTCACAGTGACTTTGATCTCAGAAGCATGCGGCTTCTCCTTGCCTGATTCTCACCCCCACACCCTGAGATAATTCCACAGAAGTCCTTTCAAGTCTAAGGCCAGTTCCTGGGCTCTGTCCACAGGGGTAGCAGGGTCCCTAACACCGAAGACAGATGTAGCTCAATAGGAAAATATAAGTGCTATCAGTGGGTCCATGAAACCTAGAGCTATGTGTCTTTGTTGAATGCACACATCCCAGTTTCTCAGGCCACCTCTATTAGCACAATCTCTGGGAACTAACTCCTGGATCCAACTGAAAACAGTAACAGGACTCTGTGACAATGAAGCAGAGACTGCAGCCCTGAACTGTGGCTCAGTCTCTTCCAATTAGTGAGAAAGACACTTCAAGGGAGGGAGATACTCCAGTCAGAGCAAAAGAGAATATGGCACAGAGAAGTTTCTCTTTCCACTTTCTGTTTTCATAAACATTATAGTTCATTCTTGGTCATAAAAATGCGAAGTTTAAACAATGACAAACATTTGGCAGGCAACTACAAGTGAGTTACTCGTGAGAAATAAACAAAAGAGCATCGTGTGTTTAACAAACCTGTGCTGTTTTTCTTTGCACCTTAATGTTTATCTCTCTCCCACCCCGTGTGACTGTTCAGAAGGCAAGGGAGGACAGGAGGATAAAAGAGAGAGATGCAAATTTGGAGAGAGAACTAACACAAATGTGGATGATTGCCTTGTGAATAATAAACCTCCACTTGTAAATTACCTGCCTTTCCAGAAAATTCAACTCATTTAAAATGCCTAATGGAGGAGAAGAGCTCTGAATCAAATACAATAAAAGCAACTAAGTCAAAACATCTTTGAAAACAAACAAGAGGGGGAAGACAGTCAACCCACCCTCACCCTTTCTATCTTCCGAAAAGCAGCAATCCCGAGCCCTGGGAGGGGATCCATAATTTTGATTTGAAAACCTCTTAGGGAGGTCCTTTGTATTTTCCCTTTCTTTCTTCGAAGATCACAGCAGCAATTTTCTTTTATCGTCAGCTATTTATAGTTTTCTTTTCTCAAAAACTCTTGGCCAGAAAGAAGCTGTGCAAAAAAAGTGTTCCGACAGCCACATTATTTTGTAGCACTCTTCAAAACTATTAAATACAATCAAGTAGGGGAGGGACAAAAAAACAGTCCCCCCAAACTTGTTCATTATCTTTTCTACTTGGTTTGTTCTCCTTAAAGCAGTAGAAGCCAAATAAATAATCTTCTCCTGGTCCCAGTGTGGTAAGATGCAGAGAAGAGCCACTTGGATGATCCCCTTTCTAGGCAGAAGAGGAAATATACCAGGGGAGGATGATGCTCGGTATAATAGCTTAACAATTAGCACAACCCCCAGACTTGTTGTTCCTGTCTCAGACAACTAGAACCTTCCACATATGCTAGAGAGACTGGAGTGAACTTAGCCAAGGTGTTGAGACTTGCCAGAAACCAACAGTCCCCAACAGTCATTTCTTTTGTGCTCCTCGTAGAGTTATTTAAAAACATGATTTGTAGACAAACATGCATTATCCAAATTCTGGCTTGACTCTTTGCTAATCTCTTGACCCTGGGGGAATTCTACTCTCAGCCTCAGCATCCCATCCTTCAAACAGGGTGACTTAGTACTTAACAGGGAGAGCTAACACATGGTGACCACTTGAGGCCAAGAAGATGCTTGCTCTCTGCAGTATGATATCCAGGGTATGTGAGAATATGGCACTTATATATATGCTAGAGTGAACTCTGACTATGTTTGTATGCTCCAAAATACCTCAGGCTACACAGACAGGAGGCTGTGAAGATGGCTTCCATTCTTCTCACTCTGGAATTACCACATCTCTAGGAGTCTGAGACTGGCTGCTTTGCATGAGGGGAAGTAGGATAACATCACGGAGACAATAAGAGGGAAGGAAATGCAAGAGAGCCAACCAGAAAAAAAGAGACGCATGGGATGCTCCAAGAGCAATGTCTGGCATGCAGGTAAGCCGTGGATGGGACTTTGGGGAAATCTCACCCCAACACTATTAGTTTGAATAATTGTGTGACCCAGGTAAGTCATTTGTCATCTCTGCTACTAAGAAGCACCATCTATGAAGGTGAATATCCCAACTTCTTTGTCTCTTCTGTGTTCCCAGTACCCAAGACATTTCTAGGGATATGGCTGCATATATCTCTGTGAAATTTTTAAAGAAAACAGTAGTCAAAGCTGTAAGTCCTCCATTAGATCATGCTGTTTGGAATTGAGTTTCTTTCAGTGATAGCTATGAAAATTTATGAATTTGAATTACATTCTAGATTTGAACCCTGATTTCCCATTTGCTAACTATGAGATCTTGGATTTGCCTAAAGTAATTCTGCTCAGATTCTTGACCCAAAGTTGGTCATAAATAGCAATTACCCCCAGCCCCATTTCCCTAAGATTCAACCCAAGTCTCACCTGTGTCTAATTCTTCCTCAAGTTCCTTGCACAAAATTGTCTTAGCCCTTCCTTGAGCATGGAGCGTGCATCTGGATCTGTCTGTAACAAGTAGTTGAAAAAGCTAAGGGTCAAGCCAGCATGCCTTGACTCAGGATAAACCCCACCCTCTTCATTCTGTTCACCTATCAGCCTCCACTTCACTCGACCATCAGAATGTCCCTTTCTTGGAGTCCTGGTACAGGAGCTGTTGGATCTCAATAGTTCTTTTTTCTCAAAGCAGGGTGGGCAAAAAGACTCAGCAAACAGTGTTCTCCTTGGTTTAGGTCCTTGAATTACTCTCTTCTGCTTCCAGTTTTATAGATTCTTGAACCAAACTGCCTTCTGAATGTCTTCCTCCATCAGGCCTCTGCATAGAGCTGAAGCATTTTTTGTAACTCGGTTCCCTTTGAAGACCATTATACACACTGATGTTGCATTCCTACTCTAGTCTGTCTCTCTAACCTCGGGACCTTCTCTCAAAGTTTAGGAACACCAAAGTCAAAGCAATCCCAGCAATAAGAGTGCACATCATGCATTTCTCACTGCAGAGGCTGTGATGGACAGACAGCCCAGGCAGTGCAGAGCTTCTGCTGCAGATGAGTGTGTCCTTCATGCTTAGCGGATACCTGCAAAAGACAGTGAAGCCTATGTGAGATGGTTATCGCACATAAATCACTGGCACTGAAGATGGCAAGACATCAATACTATCAACCCTACCAACTGCAAGCACTGTAGCCCAGGAACCGTGGTATCAAATGTCTAGCATATGTAAACCATCCAAACAGAAGCATACCCATGCCGAGATCTAGCTCATAGGAAAAGATACAGGCAATGGGCTCTTTTATTATCCTATCTTATTTTCCAAGACCTATGTATGGAAGAAGCATTTAGAGCAGTGGTTCTCAACCTGTGCGTCGCAACCCCTTTGGGGGTCAAATGACCCTTTCACAGGGGTCACATATCAGATATCCTGAATATCAGATGTTTACATTATAATTCATAATAGTAGCAAAATTATAGTTATGAAGTAGCAATGAAAATAATTTTATGGTTGGGGGTCACCACAACCTGAAGAACTGTATTAAAGGGTCCCAGCATTAGGATGGTTGAGAACCATTTATGTAGACAATAACAGACAGATTTTGCCCCTTTTTCTAATACAAAACCAAAAGTGATCAGGAAATCAAGACTAGCAAGGGACACTGCCTACTGATGCTCACAAAGGAGGGGGAATGGGGAACTATACCCATATCCATCCATTTCAAAAGTGCCTAAAGTGGAGAGAATAAAATGGACCAAAGAAGTGGCACAGAACCCATCCTACTGAATCACTTAGGAAAGAGGGGGAGAGAATGTGAACTGTTCAAAGAAGGAAAGAACCTTACACCACGACTCTCCTTTCACTTTACCTGTTTTGGGTTGGCTTTTTTCATTAGTAACTAAGATTATTTCTCCGTCATAAACCAGCAAGTTCTGTTTTTTCATCCATAGAGTATAACACTAATAGTACTATCCTCCCTACACTTTGTAGGCAGTAAACAAAACCTCTCTCCTCCAAGACTCTTATAAGTTACATTTACACATTTACACACACTACCTCTACTCCATCTTCCAGTTACCCAATAGCTGTCTCTAATTAACCCACTATTTACTTTGCTTCATGTACAGACAGAGCACCTTCTATAGAGGATACTCGAGCCTTGTTAATACATCGGCATCATCAACCCTTTCCTTCCCAGAAGCTTCAACAAGTTACATTCTGAAATACTCTACTTTCTATTTGCCACCAAAATGATTGTGTCCTTTTCATGACTTAAAGTATCACAAATATAACAATAAAAAATGATAGTTATTGGGAGCTAAAGAGATGGGTCCCATTGATAGTGTCTGCCATTCAAGCATGGGCCTGAATTCCAATCCCCAGCACCCACATAAAAAGCCAGGCATGGTGGAACATATACACATTCATATATATGCATGCAAACCTACATACATACATTTGTGTATATGCATTTATGTATATACATATAACCTACTTCTTGTGATAAAGTCACAGATGCATAAATATGTATATATGTGTATATATTATCATCTATATATTTATCTATCTGTGACTCTAATACTGGAAGTGCTAGAAAGAGGAAGACCTACAGTCAGTCTCACAAACTGTCAATCACCAGGTTCAGGGAGAGACCTGTCTCAAAGAATGAAGATAGACAACTATAGAAGAGAATGGCCCAGCATTGACTTCTGGCCTTCACACTCACAGACACATACACATAATGAAAGTCAGTCTTGACTTTCTCCTAAGCTGAGACCTATTATCCCCTTTTCTGCTGCCTTAAAAGAAAAAAATCATATCTCTCATGGATCTTTGTCTTCAAGGAGCGACATGGTCTTTGCCAGGTTGAAATCTAAACACCCATGAGAGAGCATCATGAGATTCTGCCCATTAAGATATCCTGTCAGAAAGGGGAGGGTTCATGAGACATATCATAAGGTGTCCCTCATCCCCAGGGATATATAAGTAACTAACAATTTCTGGAGATGAAAAGTTCTTCTTCAGCGGTGTAACTGCCCATAAGTTACCCCATGCTCCTGTGAGTAATCCTGTAAGTGCTCCTATACATAATCCCAGTTGAACTCACTGGCTCACAAAGTGAGACTTTGATGGGTCATTTCTTTGTCCTGTCTTTAGAGCAAGCAAATGTTTATTCACTTCATGCCAGGAAAGTCATGAAAACAATGTCTTTCTCAATGAGCCATACGCCACATTCATGATCTTCAGACTACACACACACACACACACACACACACACACACAAAACTCTTCATATATTTTCTATTCACCTGCTTGTGCAACTAGCATCATTACACACAAACATATTCACGTATGTTGGTTTAGTCAGTGTTCTTTTCTGCCATCATATCCACGACAGTATGGACTATAAGTCTTGTATGAGAGGCCTTGTTGTTACACTGCCAGAGTTTCAGGCTCATACTAGGTTCCCAATCAGTATGCACTGAATAATATAAGCAATGGGGAGCTAGATTTCAAAAAAAATGCTCAGTACCCATATGCCACTGCCCAATAGTTCTCTGTCTCCTCCAGGTTCACTAAGAAGAGGCAGGGGTCATGCATGATTAGTATAGTCTTATATTCCCAGCATTCAGGAAGGCCATTGTGGAAGAGTCTTAAGTTCAAGGCCAATAGGTGCTACACACAGTAAAAAAAAATACAAGAAAAGGAGCTGGAGAGATGCTTGACAGTTAAAAATGTTACTATTCTTGCAGAAGACCTGAGTTTAGATCCCAGAACCCACATGATGGCTCAAAGCTATCTGTAACTCCAGACTCAGGGAATATCTCATTCTCCTGGCCTCTGCATGCACTACTGCATGTGGTACACACACATACATGCATGTAAATACTCATACACACAAAATATTTTTTTAATTTTTAATACAAAAAGCCAAATACATTGGCATATGAGAAGACATAACACATTATTTTGTCCACTACTTTTTTAAAAATTAAATATCAAGAAGCGGATAGGTAGAGTTAATATAAGACAGTAATTTTAAAGGTGGGGGTCTGAAGAGATGGCTCAGAAGTTAAGAGAACTGGCTGCTCTTCCAGAGGTCCTGAGTTCAATTCCTAGCAATCACATGATGGCGCACAACCATCTATAAGGAGATTTGGTGTCCTCTTCTGGCCTGCAGTCATACATGTAATAATTTTTTAATGAGAGTTTTATTAAAATGCTCATAATAATGACTTTTTTAGTTACACAACGTTTTTTCTAGAATTTAAGAATTGTTTTCTGGGGAAGCAATGGAGCCACACAATGATCCTCTGCATTTAGACTCCATCTCTTGTTTCCCACATGATCTGAAAGAATTCTTTGTTATCTCAGGCAATGTCTCTGCTGTGGTTTTGATGCAAATCTTCCCATGCTGTCTGCATTCTGCATTGTTCTCTTATCTTTAGAGCTCCCTGTGCCGGGAGCATTCAGAGTTCATAACCCTTTGCCAAGGATACAATGACTGTATGTAATTGCTCAAAAGCCAGACTTTGCATGTCATTATTTTCACCCAACAATGGATAAAAATATGTTTTTAACAAGCTATATCCACCCACTGGTGAGACAACCTTGTCTCTCTGCCCTGTGCCTGTGCTGCCTAATCAAATGCCCTCTCTCGCTGATGACACCTCGGTCTCTACAGTTTAACTGTCTCAGTCCCGTTTGTCTAGGCAGCATCTCTCAGCACACTTTAATAAGAGGTTCTGCTTCCAGCGGCACTGAAGTCACCTTGACAAGCTTGCCATGCAAATCTTGAGCCATGCGCTTACTCCAAAAAGAGAGGGGAGGGGAGTAGAATTCTCCATGTGACTCATTTTGCTTCGAAAGCAATGTGGAGAACAAAAACAGAAGTGAAGATAACTTTTTCTAATTCCCAGTTCCCTTAAGCCCAGGCACCTGACACCTCAGTGTGACTCATTTCCCATGCCCCCCACAGATCTCCAATTCTCGGGGCCCTGCCTTGCCTCTGACGATTACCCATGCATTGTATGGGAGGGAAGTGTTCTTACTCAGAGGGTGGTTCCCTTGACTCCTTATGTAGACTGTTTCTTTCCTTCACTGTGTGAAGCTAAGGACCAGCATAAGTCACTGTTCATTTTTGCAACACTTCAGCCCCCAGAGTAGGCCATTTCATGTTATTTCAGGTGGTCTGAGGACCAGCCCTCTAAAAGCACCTACATGTCCGAAATGACATGCAAGGAACAGACTCTGAAATCACAAAAAATCCTGTGCTCACCACACTAGGTATTCTGGACACAAAAGAAGCCCACAGATGTTAACCTGAATCATTTTCCTCCCACTCTCTCAGGAATACTTACTTCCTGTTTTAACCCTATATATGCATGTCTCACTCTGCCTCTTTCCTTTATCCTGAGGGTCAGAAGCAATTCTTTAGTAAATTTAGTGCTTAACTTCATGCAAGCAAATTAGGTGTTCTGTGGAAAGGCATGCTAGTGGGTAACAGACTTGAGTTGGATCTCAAGACTAGAATTTCAGGACTGCTTCTGAAAATAATTTGCTGGGACAATTAGGGGAATCCCTCATAACTTTGAGTTTGATTATTCCTACCCAAAACACAGACAAAAAAATAAAAAATAACCAAACTTTCTATCTCCCATATCTCATTGTAAGAATTAATGAGAAAACCACAATAATGTTAAAATAAAACCACTGCATTCTAAGAGTCTATGACTGGTTCATTGTCATTGTCATAGGCATAGGCATGGTCACCATCATCATCGTCATCACCCTCATCTTGAATCCATTTAGCACCTTAACTCTTTCTGTGTTGTACTACTGCCACCTACTGGCAGAGCTGAATGAATAGGAAGCGTTCTTAAACATTAGGGTTTACATTTGCTTCCATGGGTATTCACTTGGACTGAAGTCAGAAAATGTGCAAGCTAAAAAAAAAAATCAAACAGAAATGATCACACTTGTTATACTTGGCAAGTAGAATTCAGCCCCAACCTTGAATAAATGGGGCAGAAATGAGTCCAACATCTAGATTAAGAGAAATTCCACCAGGTGGTCTCA